AATACAGCTTTTATATGGAACAGTGAAATTTGAAACAACTGTAGGTAAGGAAGGCAGGGAAAAATGTGACTACAGCAGGCACCATACCATCAGTTGTAGGCAAGCTAAGGATGTAGACAACAGAGGAGCTACTAAACTTTACAGGGCGGTGGTTTTTGGTGGTTTTTTTTCCTGAAGATTTAGGACTCTTGGCAGTGGAGACCTTGGGCAAAGCATAGTGTTAAAATAACTAGAGAGGTGTGTTCATTTGTTAAAATAGCTTGAGTGGTATGTTCATCTGTCACAGTAAACTGCCTTGTGGAAATGTTGCTCAGCTCAAAAACTCTAGTTCTACCTACACTAGTCTATTATACAATATATGAATGTGTTCCTGAGCACTGGGTCAGGGTTGTCTTTACTCTTGGATATTTTAGATGGTAGATGGCATCAGTTTAGATGAGGCCATCTTGTTCTCCCGTGGGATTTCTAGATACATTTAACCATGTTAACATGAGCCAGGGGCCATTGATAGAAGACTGCTTACTAGGCTGGATATCATGAGGCTTGAATGGTACAAGTGCAGACTTACACAGCAGTTGGCCTCGGTCCCGCACACTTCTTCTGAGCACATCTGTTTATTAGCATAGATGTTGCCACTGTTGCCCTGCTGATGTCTTTCTGTGATGCAGAGACATAACACAGCAGCTCTTCTTCCCCAAATAAACGGGCTTACTGTGTTTTTATGTATTACACTCAGAAACTTCAGGTTGTGCTAGCAGCTACTGATATTCAGTGTCTCTTTCCCCTTCCTGGGTATTCTAAGGCCTTGCATTAATAATCATCAGTGAATAATGCAGTCTGACCTCGAAGGCCTGCTTAGGATCTTTTATACTTGGGATGGTCTTACACTCCTTGATAATACACACTCCTGATGCTTCAGCAGCTCTGGTGGGAATCTTAGTCCTGCATTTATCTCAAGCTTCTGCATTATTACTTTAATGTCTCTTGACATGTTCACAGCTCCTCTTTGCTGCTGGGCTGACTGCTGGGTATGGATTCTTTGCCCTCCTTTTCAGCACCTCCTACTGTTTCAATGTCCTTTTTGATCATTTTTCCCTCATTATGTGCCTGTAAAAGTAACAGTTGTCCATTTGTTTGATTTCTGTCCTGAATGTCTCTTTCCTTTTATCTAAACTGTAATATCTATTGGTAGCACAGAGGAAATAGCTGATTGCAAGACCATGTAATTGTCTGGGAACCTCTGGGCAATATGGCTCCAGTCTTTCACCATTAAAGTCAGAGAGTGCTTTACTCTTGAGTTATCCTAATGGGAGAATTTCTCCCAGGGGAATTGATAGGAGCTAAGACTCAGGATGTTTATAACAGGGGTGGAAAGGATGGGGAGGGATAAAATTGCTTTGTGTCCATGGAGTCCACATGACTCAGGAGTTGTTTATTTCTGTAGTCTATTTAGAATTCAGTATCCTACAAAAATGACTATAAGAAAAAAATATTTTCTATTTTATAAGTCACTAAACCATTTCACACCATGAATCTGAGTGGTTTGTGGTAATGTGCTGAAAATATTAAAAATTCTACTCACTGTCATTTTTGCTCTCAAGGACTAAATTCAAGACAAAATAGATTTGGGGAAAAAATGGAGTCAGAGGGAGGACAAAAGGCAACATGTATGGTTTGAGAGTACAAAGAGAGACTCATATTCATGCTGTTAGGTTTTAGGCATGTAGCTGCGGGTCCTTCAGTATCTTTTCCATGCAAACATTAAGGGAAAGACACACTTCAGACATCTCATTATCAACCATAGGTAGAGCTAAGGGAGACTGCAGCCCTTATTTTGTCATGTGAGGTTGACATAAGCCTTTGTGCTTAATTATCTTTTTTAATTTTTTTAATTCCATGTATGTCAGTTATGCAACAAACATGAATTAAATACTAGCTTGAACCATATTAGAATTACAGAAGGCCCCCAGTACAATTCTAAAGCCTATTAAAATGCATCTGTGCAATTAGTCTCTGAGCACACTGTTGTCTCCTCCCTTCACACTCCCCGTCTTTTTATTTTTCCTCTTGTCTCATTTTTCATGGCCTGCCTGTATGCAGAATGCCAGCTCCTTGGTTCGGGACTCATTAATTCTCCATGCCCGATAATGCGCCTGCAGCACTTTGGGATAATAAAATAACAGTGTGAAGTAACAGAAAGCTGCTTCCACTTGCAGTAAGCAGAAGACGAAGCATTGTCTTGCTCCTCTATGAAATACAAGCAACGCAGATTCATATGGAATTAGCTATGAACTACTGAACACAGATACATGCAGGGACAGCTCTGGGCTGTTTACTAACAGAAGTGCAGATTAAATGAATCCTTGCTCGGGATGCTTGGAGGCAGCTGGATGGATATTGCTTGCCTCTGGGCTTGTGAAGAAAGAGGGCTGTGTTAAATTAACAGTTTCAACACCTTCCCAAATATACATGCTGCCAAATGATACCCACATGATTTTCTTCTGAAAATACCCCACAGCTTTATGCCCCATACTGCACCAACCCCTGCAATTGTCTTATCTCCTTGGAAGCTGAAAAAAGAGCATCTCCCTCTCTGCCTGTGCCATTTCTACCTCCTCCTTTCCCAGCTGTACAAGTGTCTAGGGGAAGTGTGGTTGAGAAGTACAATTTATTTGTGAGGGAGATGCTGTGCACGAGGGGTGCATGGATATTGTAAAAAATTCAAGGGAGTCATTTTTTACTAGCCCTTCAGGATGGGGTAGTTCCTTGTGCACCTGCTCACCTGAACAAGCAGACTTAGCATCTGACCTTCAGGTTACTGAGTGCTAAGCATGGGACTGTGAAATAGAGGGATGACTGTTTTTGCTTTGTTTCCTCTGCAGAGATAAGTTCATATCAGAACCCAAATCAACTGCTATAGTTGTTGGGGATTTATTGCTTATATTCCCTTGGATGCCTGAGAGCCTGGATTGTGAAGGTATCCTGAGAATATGCTTAGATGATATCAATTTCCAGAAAAATATCTTAGGAGTCAAGGCTCACATGCTTTTTTGATTTAAAGAAATATTGCAAACTTATTGCAATTATTTATATAAAACAAGCAGTTAGATTTGGATTCAAGAATTGTGTTTTGGTTCCCCAAACAGTTTGCAGGGCACTGCAAGGTAAACATGCAAGAAGGTAATAGTGGCAGAGCGTTCTGTGGGGCTGTTCTGGGGCGCTTGGAGAATAAGGGAGTGGAGGATCCATGAATGAGCTCCAAAATCTAAACACTCAGAAGTCATCTGGAGGGACTCGGAAATGAATTTATTTGTTTGTTGGGTTTTTTTAAGTGTATTCAGTGTTGACATATTTGTTTTGCTTCATTATTTGTGGATCTTTGGGAAACAAATGGGTCCTGTTTGTGACTTTTAAGCAGCACAGAACAGAGCATTCAGAAGTTTGGTGTTATTTGTACGCAAAGTTTTTTGCACCATTGCTTGAAATACTTAACAGCTCTGACACTGGTGTATGAGAAGTGGCACATGAGCCAGCAGTGTGCTCTTGCAGCCTGGAAGGCCAACAGTATCCTGGGCTACGTTGGAAGAGGGGTGGCCAGCAGGGAGTGGGAGGAGATTGTCCCCCTCTGCCATCGTGAGGCCACATCTGCTGCCCCAAACACAAGAAAGACGTGGAGCTGTTGGAGCATGTCCAGAGGAGGACTACAGAGATGCTCAGAGCACTGGTGCACTGCTACTGTGAAGAAAGGCTGAGGGAGTTAAGCTTGTTTAGCTTGGAGAAGAGAAGGCCCCAAAGAGACCTTGTTGTGGCCTTCCAGTACTTTAAGGGAGCTCATAAGCAGGAGGGGGAGCAACTTTTTACACAAGTAGATAGTGATAGGACAGAAGGAAATGTCTTTAAAATAAAAGAAGGTAGATTTAGATTAGATGTTCAGAATACATTTTTGACAGGGTGTGATGAGACACTGGCACAGCTGCCCAGAGAAGCTGTGGGTGCCCCATCCCTGGAGGCACTCAAGGCCAGGTTGGATGGGGCCCTGGGCAGCCTGAGCTGCTGGGTGGCAGCCCTGACCACAGCTGGGTGTTAGAACTAGATGATCTTTAAGAACCCTTCCAACATAAGCCCTTCTATGAATCTGTGATTCTACAACATTTTCATGAACAATCCTGTATGCACTGACATACGACCTCTAGCCAATGGTTTTGCTGGGAGTTGTATTGAAGAGCGAGAGGGTTTTCTAGAGCAAAAAGCCTTATAATGTGTCCAGAGAGGTGAGGTGAGAGAGGTGATTCTGCCTCTCTGCTCTGTGATGGTGAGGCTTCACCTGGAGTATTGCATCCAAATATCCTCAGTACAGGCATTGAGCTGTCGGAGTGCATCCAGAGGAGGGCCACCAAAATGATCCAAGAGATGGAATTCCTCTCCTGCAAACACAGGCTGAAAGAGCTGGGGCTGTTCAGCCAGAGAAGAGAAGGCTCCGGGAGACCTGGTTGGCCTTTCAGTATTAAAAGGAGGCTGTAAAAGATTGTATGATAATCTAAATGCTCACAGTTCTCTCTTTTGGTGTTCCCTGCCAGTTGTATCCAAAGAACAATAAAAATTCTACTTTGCAAATAGAATTCTCTTCAAAAAATACATCACAACAGCTTGAGAAGAAAGATGAGGAATAGAGTCAAAATCAGGTAGACTTTTGTTCCTAACCTGCCTCTGAAGTGGCCTATTTATTTCCTCAGAGGGCCTCCTAAACTTTATCTTTATGCCTGAAGAGCAGTAGAATGTTTGCCACTTCCATTCCTAAAAAAAAACTCAGTGCTTTAAATAAATATTTTCAAAATTCATACATAATACTTGTTTTTCTGAGGCCATGTTCAAAACTTGTTCCAGTTGTTATTACCTTAGTGAAAAACAAAACCAAAAACAAATGGTCTCAAAACTAATTTAATATGAAACGTGAATTAAATTTGGTACATTTTGAGTGATCTTTTCTATTTGTCTTGCAGGTCTGAGTACAGCCGCATGTCCTCTACCAGCAGTGAGTACAACTTTCAGACTTTTTTTGTAATGGAATCTCTGCTTCTTGTTTTCCTAACTGCTACTATTTATAAACATCAGCCTTATGTTATGAGAGAGTTCATATTGACACCGTGAGGCCCCCATTCCAGTTCTTCTTGGATCTATGTCTAGAGGCAGCATATAAATTAAGCTAATGGGATGTTCATGACTAAAATACAAGCCATGTGTAAAATCATAAATATTAGAGGTGATACGAATGCAAAGCAAAATGAGAACAAAATCCGTAAATATGGCTTGGCCTATTTGAATGGGTCCTGCAGCCAAATGAGTCTGTATTGCTGAATGGCATCAGAGCTGGGGGTTGTAGAAATAATTTAATGCTTTTTGCAAGCTGATGCCAAGGAAGTACTTGAGAACAAATCCTAGGAAGCTTTTCTTTGATTTCAAAGGCAATAGATAATCTAGTGAGAGTCACAGTCTTTCTAGGTGTTTAGGGTAATTGAATTTCATCTTATCTTAGTATCTGGATTATTTTTCTTTCTTTTTTCACCAAAGCAAAATGGTGTTGCAAAAGCAATATCAAGTGGCACTTTTTCAGTCCTCTATCTTCCCACTCAAACCATTTTCTTAGTTGTAGGACATACTGTACCTCACACCTGCATACAGTGCAAGACGATACCTGTCTCCCTGATACACACATAGACTACAATTTTATTTATGCCAAGTAAGCAAATGAAGAATTCAGAGATGACAAATTGCATTTTATAATCTGGATCTTTATGCACCATGAAAATCAGAGGAGAAGAAAGCCATCAGTTTTTTTTCATTCACACATTTGTGCTGAAGCACGGGGAGGTTCGTTTTCCATCTCCCATGATCTTCAGTGGAGGGCTTTTATTGATTTCAGCAAGCACTGGATCAGACAGTGTTCGTAATGTCTGGCTCCTGAGCTGATGTGACTAGCAGGGAGCTTGCTGCCTTTTCACCATCTGCTCTGTTTGTGTGCATACATCTGAGAAAAAGAGTTCAATGCAGCTTTTTCCTAAATTTTGTTGTTTAAATAAATTTCTGGCTTCCCACTGGAAGACAGAATTTGTGAAATGATTGAGAGGTAGAATCCAGCCAAATAACTTTTTTTGTATTTTTGGAATTTGCCAGGTTAGCCCAGTTGTGTGTGCCCTTCCTCTCAAATCACACTTTTGGCTGATCATTTGGGGCTGCCTAGTAAGCATGTTTATTTGGCAATTACATTCAGAGGACAAGGCTTGAGAAAGTCAGTTATATCCCATCAGGTTTTGTCCCTTACAATTTTGGTGTGGCCGCTATGCGTTTTACAAATAAAGGTAACACTGAGCTTGTAATTCTTCATTTTTATTAAATTAGCAGTTGCACATGTAATGTTTAGTTGTATGGCAGCTACAGTTTGCTATGCTGAATGTTGTCACCTCAGTGTCTTGCTGACCAGACCGAGGCTGTCCATATGAATATGTGAGGATTACAGTTGCATTTCATCACTGGTGATTTGTCAGTACAAGGATGTTTATCATTCCAATACAGACATAAAAGTTCAGGAGACAGGGCTGTCTCTTTCTTCTTCTTTTCTGCTTCCAAAGCAAATTATATTGTTACGACTTCACAAGTAGCAGTATTTAACTTTGCATTTTGTGGTGTTTGTGTGGTCACTTTGGTCAGACAGTGAGAGAGAAACAGTAACATTGATGTAAAAGAAGCTAAGCAAAATACAAGTGCTTTTGTGTTGGAGGCTGGAAGACAGAGAGTGCATAATGCATTTGAAGAAAAGATTACTGGGAAACAGATATTAAAAAAAAAAACACCATGATTAACCATTTTAATTTATGCAGGGAAAAGACAGATTCAGAAAATGGCTCCTCTTGTAATACAGAACCAGTGTAATCCATGGTGCCATCAGAATCTAAGTTAATACCAAATAAGCTATAAAGTTAAAAAGCGAAGAGTCTCTATTATCTAGCTGCTTCATTTGAAGTTCCTGTTCTAATGAAGTGGAGCTTATCTGAGCTGGGAGCATTACAGGTTCATTTGGTTTTGCAGAGGTCTTATTCTCTGGAGCCAATGAGGATCTGATTTCAACATTTAATAAATGAATAATTCTGTCTTGTGACGTTCTGGATAAGCTCCTCTGTACAAAGGTTTTACACAGACATGCCCAAGGAAAGGATAGGAAAGCTCTGGCAGGTGAATTGATAGATGCCTTCACTGCTCCCTGCAAGGACAGCAGCTGAACAAACCAGTGCCGAGGCCTGTGGGAATGCTGAAGCTGTGGGAGAAGGCTCTCCCAGGTCAGAAGTGAGTATCTTGGGCTGCTTTGTGGCAATGGAAGAAGCATTCTGTACAGGCATTATTTAATTTCTATTTTGTTTTCCTCAGGCAGTTTTTGTGAGAGACATTTACCAGTTTAAAGGCTTCTCTGATGTGCTGTGTCAGCCTTTGGTCTAAGGCAGCATCTCAGTCCTTTTGTTCTTTGCCATTGCGATCCGGCTTTGGGTAACCAAAGAATGCTCTTCAATTGTCTATCATTGGTGTTTTGTATAGCAGTTACTTTGGGACAGAATGCTGAAGTTTGCAGAGCACATCTGAGTTAATTTCTCTAGGAAAATGGGCCACTCGGTGCCCATGCTACTCCGGCTGTTGCTGCAATGACTGTGGGCCTTTTCCCTTTTCTATTCATTGTGCAGAATAAATAGTCCAAGAAAACCTGCTTGCTAGATACTAGGTTGTGAGGCATTATGAGGCTTTGAAAGGTTCAGCAGTGTGATTTCATAGAAGGTAAGTGCTAAATTAATTCTAACATTCTTTTCCTTTTCTGAATTCTAATGTGCATAACCCACGTTTTCCTTTGTTCTTTAGCAGGAGGTGTGCTTCATCTCAATAGGATGTTTTGCCCATTGGTGTGCGCTTCCTTAATCTAGCAAATGCAATAAGCTTTTTTTTGCTCATATTTTCAATTACCTTTTCAATTACAGTTTTCAGTTACCGTTAGGGGATCCCTAATCATATATAAGAGGCAATTGTGCTAGGCATTTTACAAACACGGAATAGACTTATACCCAAAGTGCGTAATAGAGAAATATAAAGGCCATTGGCAGCTTATGGATGCAGGTAGTTGAATCACAAAGAGATAATTAATTAGTGTTGGTCAGCACAGTGAGGAACAGTCTCTGCACATCAACACTGTGATTACTTTCAAGTTGCTTTCATCTGTACATTTCAGGGATGACTTTCAAGCAGGAAGAAGGCTTTGATGGAGCCTGCTTACCTGCTCCTCTGGGCAGTCTTCACTTTTATGGTAACAGAACTTCAGAAAGACTCAAACCAGAAGTAGGCATTTTGAAGAAAGATTTTTGTGATTTGTAACATTAAGTATTCCACACTTAGGGAGATGTGGGGGACAATTTAACCAGGGTGTCTTAGAAATAACAGTAAAAGTAAGTAGTACTTCTTACACCACTGATATTATTCACCTAGGCAATCAGTAGGGAACTACTTAGATACACTTTGTGCTGTTTCAGCTGAGTCATAAATGAAGCACAGGCTGGCCCTGTGGGAAAAGACACAAGCTTGTAGCAGATTGTAAAGCATTTGAGATAACAAAACCATGTAGCAACACAGTGCTTCATGTCATGCAAGGTAAAAGAGGCTTGTCACCCGCCTGCTTTGCTGTTGGAAAGCTGGTAATTCACCTTCCTCTGCTCCTTTCACTTAGCAGCTAGGAAATAATTCAGTGTTTCTGATATAGTTTAGTATGATTTGTATTCCACCTATGAGCTGGACTAGTATTATGTTTTTTCATGGTGCATTATTAGAACCTGTGGTTCTAATAATTAAGCACAAGTTAATTTCTTTTAGCAGATTTAAAAATATGTGGGGTACCAAGCATGTTGCAGTTTTTGTAAAATTTACCTTTACCACATTTTCTGTTTGTATTCCATTCCTATGCCAGTATAAATTCAGGTATCTGTTTTGGGATTGAATCAGTGTTTTCTAATCTCCACCTGTATCAGCTCACCTGGGCTATGTTTGCACTATTTTCTCTATAAGTAGCAAGAGTGCTCATCTGCAAAACTGCAGCCTTTTGTGTGAGGCAGAAGTGGTGATGTTTCTCCTATTCTTGATAGCAGAGGAGGTGGCTGAATCTTACCTCCACGCAAAAGAAGTGCATTGAAGTAGGCTGCCCTACTTGGACAGCAGATTTTAATCCCTAAATGACAATTGCCTGAGAATATTTGCCAGTCCCAATACTTCATCCTTCTCCTGTCCTGCTTTCCCATTACTGGTTTACAATATTACAGGGCCATAACAGAGTGGGTAACATTCTCCTTTTGTTACTCCTTTTGCTTTTTTTCACCTCTCAATCATTTCATTGGATCTGGTTATAGGGAACAAGTGATCTCCAGCATTACAGAAAAAGCTGTTTATGAAAAAAGCCTTGAAACCTCATGTTGGTGCATGTGCCATTCATTCATCCAAGACATCATATTCAAATCAGTGCTTTTTCCTTCAGACTTATTCCCAGACACCTAACAACTCTCACAAACGACAGGGTAAGTTAATGGCATGCAGTCAAGTCACAATTTCCAAACAGGAAAAAAAAAAGGATTGCCCAAAAAGTAGTGCTGTTCTGAATTTGAGGTAAGCTGTTACGGTTTTTCCCCACATTACCTCATTGATTCAAAGCTCTACCAGGCTGCTTTCATTTTGAGCAGCTCTGTCTTGAACCCTGCAGTGAGGCGGCTGCACCCAGGATTAACATCAGCAGTGGAAATTTAGTTGTTGCATGTGCTTACATCCTAAGGACCTGGCAAGAGCTTCTTGAGTACAGATGTCATTTATCAGAGCGTAGGAAGACAGTATGAGGCCACCTGTCCTCTCCATGCCCAGAACTTCCCGAGGCACAGTTTTTATACCATTTTCATCCCATATGCTTATAACAATATGCTACCTCTCTTCTTTGCTCCTTCCTTTTTTCTCTCTTTTGTTTTG